TGTGCAACTACTACACAAACAAACAAATAGGCCAAAATCCATCCTAAGGAAAACAGTCAGGCTTAGAACACCTTTCTGACTTTATCCAGCATTGCTCTGCACGTGACTAAAGGAGATAAGAGCTCCCCTGACTGACAGTGATGCCATCATCAAGTTGACTTGTATGTGTGTCTGTGCACAAGTGAGAGATGATGTTAACCATGGGACCCAGGCAGGTATAAATACCTTTGGGAAAAGCCAGATTAGCAGAGAAGAGGAGGAGCCTTACCCCTTACACACAGACTTGCTATAAATAGGGTTCTGAAGCATCAACCTTGTCTACTTAGGGTCCAAAGATAAACCCTAATGCAGCTACATTTCAACGATATGCTTTATTCAGCAGCATTGCAAGAAAATGCTTGTATATGTCAAATGTTTGTATATACCCCAATTTTTAAAAAAAATTAAATAAACTGCAAAAGACCTTTTTACTTCTTATAGCACTGGTTTATGAAGAAGGAAGGTACTTATAATACTCTACTTGGAGTGATACAGTAATCAAACGGTGATTGGGAAAAAGATTTTCTTCAACAAGAGAATCTTGAGACATGACAGCTTTACATAAAATACCACAGTTTCATGTTTACTGCAAATTTGAGGCAATAACCTTTTCAAACAGACTACACCATTTTAATTTTAAGTAAAGGAAAACTTTTGTAGCTTTCTTTTAGCCGCCTGACTGTGCACAGAAACAGGTGTGGGAGGGGAGGCTGTTGCTTTATATTTTTTGCTGCAGAAAAATATTCGGGCCACTTTAGCCCTTTTATCTCAGTAAAACACTTTAAATTGTGAAAAAAAAGCTCATAAAAAAATTGAGAAGGTTGTGAAAGCATAACTAAACTATAACAAAAAAAAACAAAAAAAAAAAAAACAGTAAAATCAAAAAGCTAGTTTTGGTTTTACTGTTTTTTTTTATTTATTGTATGAAGAAACTGCCAAATTACAACATACAAATTCACCAATATAAAATTTTTATTGACTTATTTAATTCAATAAAATGTTATTCCTTAAGCTTGACCCATTTTTCTGGCTTTTCTTTTCCTTAAATTCACTTTTCCCTATTATAAACACTGCTTCAGGTACATCAGCTACTAAAATAAACCTTTTTTTTTTCAATTTATTTGTTGTTTTTTTCATATATCTATATTTTAGTCCTCTCCCTCTCATCTTTCCCTTCGTCTTCCCTCAGGCCCTGGACGGCTTCTTCTTTGTGGTGAACATGGAGGGTAACATAGTGTTTGTGTCTGAGAACGTCAGCCAGTATTTGCGCTACCAGCAGGAGGAGCTGATGAACACTAGTGTCTACAGCGTCCTGCATGTTGGAGACCACGCAGAGTTCATCAAGAACCTTTTGCCCAAGAGTCTGGGTAAGAAAAGCGGGAATTTTACTACAGAAAATCCTAACCTCATTTGCATTTTCAAATTATTTTCATATTTGCATGGATTAGCTTTTCTTACACTTAGCTAAACAAATGATGCGAAGGACGCACAGCGCTATGAACGAATTTGGTTAATATTTCAAAATAAACCTGAAATTGTATATTTTAACCAGTGGCGGCTTATGGAGTTTTCTCCGTTGGGGCTGTAAAAACAAAATAGACGTATACCAAAAACCAATCAAACGTATACTAAGTTATCAAACCAGTATATTTATAAGAATGCCAAGAACAAAAAAACCTTATAAAACACTTTACTAATTTTATCTAAAGGTTTCTTTTTTGTACATAAATCTTGCCCTTCTGAGGCTTTGTGAAAACAAATCTCTGTTTGGCATAGTCCAATACTGTGTCACAAACCAAAAAAATTATGTACCAGTTTAATAATGGAGAAGGCATTAGTCAGCTTCATATTTTTCAATATAGAAAAACTATTCATTTTCTGAGAAAGTGTTTATTTAAGATCAACTATGCAAATTAAGAAACATCTAGAAAAAGTACACTATATTACTCTATTGAATCCTGATGTTTGAAAAAGGGGGCAGGGAGTTAAGGCAACAGAATAAAGCGTTAGCCTCACTTCATGCAGTTAGTACTAAGCTTTGAAGCTAAACCAAGTCCTTATTGCTAAACCAGTGTCAGGAGGTGGTGAGCAAATACACTTCCTTTCACCTCAGGGCGCAGAATTACCTTTGTATTGCAGAGCTTCTGCGCATGTACAACTTATAAGGAGAGTCTGTGGGCAAAGATTTTTGCGCCCTAAGGCGGAAATACGTCACCAATCCGACGAAAAGTGAAGTGACGCTTTATTCCTTATTAAAGATTAAATATTTATAATGCACATCAGAAACACATATATTCAGAATTCAGAACACATATATTCAAGCCTGGGTGTGTAACTCCAGTATGTTGTTTAGAGAAAATTATGTTTAGGGTTATCTTTTATTGTATTCACTCCATCCTGAAAAAAAAAAAATGGTTTAAGTAAATCATTTTAAGCCCTAAATAATAGACAGTCAGTCATAACTTTAATTAAAAGCATCACTGGCATTGTATACCAAGTGGCAACACAGCATTATGGCACATTCGGAAAACAGTAATTAACACACAGTTTACATGCACTGTGGATTGTGCAGTATTGGATGTTTTCCAAATTAATGTTTCTGAGCCTTCACCTGTTTTGAGACAACAAATAAAAATCTAGAAAATGTAGTATTTTACTGCTACTGTTGTGTTGTGATGTTGTATTGAAGGGGTGGTTGAGAGATAGACTTTACATCTAAACATTTTTATGTATTTTATTGTTTCTTTGTCATTCAGTCAACCATCGCAGCACAGATTCCTCCAACAGGAACAGCCACACCTTCAACTGTCGTATGTTGGTCAACCCTCACGCTGACGGTGAAGCTCGCCATGGAGTCGACCAGCAAGATGCAGCACAGCAGAAGTATGAGACCATGCAGTGTTTTGCCGTCTCTGAACCAAAGTCCATCAAGGAAGAGGGGGAAGGTATGCTTTCTTGCCTACAGCTCACAGTGTTTGCCTAACTTTGAAATCCCTGTTTGTTTTTACTGTAAATGTTCATCCTGCTTATTCATTTAGATTTTTTTTTTTGACCTACTAATTTGCAGTCGTTGCCTTAGTTTTTCGTTTTTCCTGTATGTGGTCTGACTTTTGAAAACAGTCTTGCCGTTGCTTCAAAATTTCTCTTTGAGTTTGCCCCGTTTTGTTTTTAGAAACTGTTTTTTTTTTCTGCCTTTTCCCACATCTCTTGGTCTCTTCCTTGACTTTCTGTCACTTTCCCATCACTCTTCCCAGCGTTGCCCTCCCAGTCTCCTGTGTCCTGTCCTCCTTCCATCACCACTTCTTTCTGTCTCTCCTCCCATCCACTGGGAGAGACTAATTAGTGTGTGGCACTTTGTCAGTTTCCCATCTAATCCAATCACACACACACACACACACACACACACACAAACACAGGGAGGGGGTGCAATGTGTCTGCCACTCTAATTTTAGACATCTGACATCCAGATATTTTGCCAATCTCTCCCCTGACATGATGAGGATATCTGCTGGACAGACAGAGGGTTGCAGGCGAACTTTGGTTTGCCTCACAACATTGTTGGACCTGCTAGTAAGACAGTAGATTGGCTGTAAATTAGTCATTAGCGATAAATCCCTTTGTGAAATGTCTTATTTCATCCCCACTGGAGATTTATGAACATGAATTACCTATTTAATAACATTCAACAGATCCCTTGAAGACTCTCAACGTCACAGGAAATATTGTTTCCTTTGAAAAACCATCCTACTTAAAGGTATAGGGGAGGATGTTCTTTTTCCGAGTGGATCATCAAAATAATTCCAGTGATATGTTTATGTAGGCCATCCTATGTGTCCTACACCTGTAGCATGCTAAAGTTAACTATAAAGATGCTTGTAGCTACAGAGACACACATATTTGCATTCACAGTATCTGTATTACGATTGGCTTACAAATATTTTTTTTAACATGTGTGCTTGTCATATACAAGCAATACATTTTCAGTTACCCTTTGTGAGTCTAACATGGTGAAAAAAATGTGCAAATCTTCTTTTGGAATGTAAGCTTGTATGAGCGATGCAAACAGCAACTTTTAGACAGACTGTGCATGAGGAGAAGAGGGCTTGTGCACGCTCTCGCATGCTTTTAATAAGCGTTCCCTCTCGAGAGCAGGGACAGGGTTGTGTATGTGCAAGTGAAGAGGGCGGGGCTTTTCAAAAGTTTGTGTAAATCGTCCACTATAGCTTAAATTTAAACATTCACTCCAAAGAGTGCTTGCTGCATTCGATGTGAGCAAATAATCAGGTCCGACTTTTCTGTTGCTGGTCACCGGTCAGGGCAGATCAAGTTGTACATCTCTTGGTTCTGCTCACAGGACGGTTTTTCTTGGCAATTCTGCCTAAAGCAGAATCTGGTAAAGTTATATTTTTTTCAGCCGATAACTTTGCAACCGCCATTGTCTTTTCTATTGATTCCACTTTTACAAGATAAATATGTTTTTGTAACAACATTCTGGTAACAAAGATAAAAAGAGATTAGAATTCATAAACATAAATAACAAAGATGCATAGAAGTCACAAAGAAATAATATCTTATTTTTAAAATTGGATATTTGCAAGTTGGCATTAGGTAGTCCAGACCTGTTTGTGCTTTACTGTTTTTAACTGTAAATCCCAGCACTGGATATTTACTGTAGTTGACCTTTTTCTCTGCCAAACTGGCTGTATGCAACTTATTACAGGGAGATCAGTTGTAATAACGGTTTCTTACCACCAGTTCCAGAGCTACTTTTTCAACAATCAATATATGGCAAGTGATAAATTCAACAACTCTTCATGTTGTAGTTTTAAACTGCAACTTTTCAAACTTCCTCGTCACACCCTGGACATGTTGCAAGCCAGTCACAAGGCAACACAGAAATAGGTCAACAATCAAGCATGTGAGCATATAATCTGAATGAAGCTAACAATCATGATTTTGGATTATAGGAAAGAATGGAGGCGACTCAGGGGGGAAATGAAAACTGTATGTAGAAAGGGCTGGATCGTCTTAATGCAAGACAACTGTGGAATCCATTGCTCAACCATGCGGCAACATTCTTCATCTTCCCATTCAAATAGGTGGATCTCTTGAGCTTGGAAGCCTTTTTATGCTGTATAGGTTTGAGTTTAGGAGGGAAAACAACCAGAAGGATTTGATCAGGTTGGACAGGAAACATTAATGCAAAAATTAATTTAGAAATCTGCCAATTAGAATAGGCTTTAGCTGACATTCATAAACAATGGAAAACAATGTAATAAAATACCATTTATACATATATATATATATATATATATATATATATATATATATATATATATATATATATATATATATATATAAAAAAGATAAGTCTAGTTGTTATCAGAGCTGACGTGTGTTGGGACATAGCCTTTCATCCATTTTCTAGGATTCTAGGATGTACTTCTTCTTCTTATACACTATATAAAGTTGTCTGATGGCTGTTATTTGTTTCTCATAACTCTAGATTTCCAGTCCTGTCTCATCTGTGTGGCAAGAAGAGTTCCTGTCAAAGAGCGGCCTGTGATGCCAGCATATGAGAGCTTCACAACAAGACAGGACCTTCAAGGTAGAGCAAGGCGTAGAGACTGGGCTGTTGAATGTGAAGTCAAATTGGATTACAGTCCCAAATACTTTATATTACTTTAAACTGGAGCTTCTGGACCTTTATAACAGAAGTCCTTAGACAGATTAAAACTATCTTTCTTACATAGCTGCACAATACTTTATTTAATTCCAAAAAGCCCACCTCACTAGTCTGAAATCAGTTAGCCATTTATCTGAGGATTCCACGGTCCAATTTTATTTTATTTTTTTAAGAAATGCATGAGAGATCTGGATCAGACCACTTTAGTGCCTGATAGGCAGTTTATGCATTGCTTTAATGTATTTACTTACCGCTACAAAATAACCAAAAGGGATTTTAAAGAACCTTTTAAAGCATGAATTGAAACAGCTACTGTTTTTTTAACCCTTCGAGACTGGACGGTCTAGCCTGCCTTATAAAACCATTGCAATAGTGGACAATAGCCTTATGTTGGAAGTATGAGGCTGCAAAATTTGGAGGAACCACATTTGTTCTGTGGACGGGACATGACAGTTAATGGGTTAAAGATTACAGTACTAGATGGTGGTCAAATGTATGAAACTTTAATTGATCTTTGTTTTTTGTATTAATCTGTTCAGGTAAAATTACCTCACTGGACACAAGTGTGCTGCGGGCAGCTATGAAACCAGGCTGGGAAGACCTGGTGCGGCGTTGCATCCAGAAGTTTCACCTGCAGAGTGATGGGGAGATGTCCTTTGCCAAGAAACACCATCAAGAAGGTTAACATAATATTGCTTTATAATATTTAAAGCAACTTTGCGTACTGTTATTTTGTTGCAAAAAGGACACACGTCACTATCAAAGGAAGAATTTTAAATACGAACGCTCTTTCTTCACTGTCTGACATTTTCTAGTGTTGAAGAATGGCCACGCCCTCAGCCCTTTATACCGATTTTCCTTGGCAGACGGCACCATCGTCTCAGCTCACACAAAGAGCAAACTGGTCCGTTCTTCAGCCACCAATGAACCACAGCTCTATATGTCAATGCACATCCTACAGAGGTAATCCCCCCATGGATACATCAACTGCTGCATTCCTGCATGAAACACTCCCCAAAGACATTAGAAAATCCCAAAGCATTCTAAAAACGTAAAGTATAACCTTTTTCTTCTCTTTCAGGGAAAGCATCGGTGGTATTGCTGCTGACATGCCTACCGGACAGGACTCGGGGAAGTCAATGACCCCAACTAGTGTGGGTGGGTCTTTTCCCTCACCTGATGCCAGCGTAACCAGCAACAGCCATCACTCCACAGGAGGCTCAAACACACCTGGACGGGGTTTCGGGTCTGTCTCAGGAAGGGCAAGCACACCTCAGGGAAACTGCTATACTCTCAAGCTTGGCAGCCCTTCTGGCCAAGGAAGCCCCAGCGTCACGTCAGGGGTCCAGAGTGCCATGCTGTCTCCACGTCACCGCCAGAGTCCCAGCACTGTAGCCAGTAGCAGCAGTTGTAGTAGCCCTCATATCCTCCATCATCCGCCCGGATCGTTCTCTCCTGCAGCTGGTTTGCACTCTCCACCATCGGTTTGCAGCACCACAGGAAATAACCAAAGTTTTAACTCCCTTAGTGCGCTGCAAGCTCTTAGCCAAGGCACCCGGATTTCACCAGGCCTCAATGAGGGACAGCATCTAGAATCACCTGACAGAAAACCAGCAGCTCTTCAGAGTCCCCACCACAGCACTAAACCCTGTAGCCAAATTAGCAAGAGCAGTCTTAGCTTAGAGACAGAGTTATTTGGAACTTTTGAAGAGCAGGAAGAATTTCTGTCATCAAACACCCATGAAGGTACGCAGGCAGATGGGAAAGATATTGATCCTGACGCCCTTGAAGGTAATGGAAACAACAGAGACTTTACCGATGTGGCAAACCGCCATCTGAGCACCAAAGGCCACACCAAGCTGCTGCAGCTTCTCACCACTAAGTTAGAACCCTCTGATCCTGCTTCACCATCGGGGCTCATGGGGGATGACCAAAACTGTAAGGACCAGCTGTGTGGGGCCGGTCATAACAACCAATCCACCTCATTAAAGGAAAAACACAAAATTCTCCATAGGCTGTTGCAGAACAGCACCTCACCTGTGGAGCTGGCCAAGCTAACAGCTGAGGCTACTGGAAAAGATCCTATTGGTCCAGAGTCTGCCTCAGGAGACAGCATTGCTGCTCTTAGTGAACTCTGCACAAAACAGGAGCCAGAGAGCCCCAAAAAGAAAGACAATGCATTGCTTCGCTATCTTCTGGATAGGGACGACAATGGCATCCTTGACAAAGCCATCAAAATGGAATCAGGCGATGGACTAAAGCTAACCTGCGTTAAGACGGAGAAGCAGGACGAAGGATTTACTTTGGCCGAACAGGTAAAAATTGAAGCTCTTTATCCAGAAAAGAAAGCAAAAAACAACACAAACTTATTTTGAATTCCATAGGGTCCCATTATCTTTGATTTTATTTTGTAGCTTTTCTTAGCGACTTACTAATAAGCACATCATTTTTTTTAACTGCGCCTCGAGGATGCTACAGTAAACGTTATTCATATATAATTTTTACTTTATTTATATATATGTATATTTAGACACACAGGTGTAGATTTCATGTAACATTATTTAATTCTGCAGTATTTGGTATTAATTGATTCATTGCTGCCCTCTTGAGGTTGAACATACATTTCTATGCCACAGCTCCTCATTTAGGTATAAAAAAAATATCCTTCATGCACAATGCAGCGAGTCAGGAGTTGGCATAGAGACTTCTTATCAATCATTTTTCAGGTGATCATTTTAAAAGGTATTTATCAGCATAGCATTTTTTTTTTCAAGTACTTAGACTACAATCCCACTTGAACCCCTCTGTGTATCCCACACCTGTCTCTTGGCACTGCCAACGTTAGTGGAATTTTTCAAACTTTGTCTGGGAGTGAGGATATGCTTTTATGCAGGGTTCGGGTCCAGTTTTTAAAAACGCTGCATATTGTTTTATTGAAACCAGTGAGGAAATTTTAGAACAGGCATCCCCAAACTCGGTCCTCGAGGGCCGCTGTCCTGCAGGTTTTAGATGTTTCTCTGCTGCAGCACAGCTGATTTTAATTGATTAACAGGCTTTTGCTCTACTGCAATCATCATAATCAGCTGTGCTAAAGCAGGGAAACCTCTAAAACCTGCAGGACAGCGGCCTTCGAGGACCGAGTTTGGGGATGCCTGTTTTAGATGGTTTAGCATCTTTTTCAATCGCTGTTTTACTTTCATTTTTGTGATGTTTCTAAACCTTTGATAACCTCTTATTTAGTTACTCTATGATAGCAAAAAGGGCCTCAACATGACAATCCCTCAGAACAAAAAAAAAAACTAACAAAAAACTTTAGCCTCTTTTTAAATAAAATGATCTGCCTGTTTCATAGGTTTCATAAGATGATATTTTCTGCTGATTTCTTTATGCCTGATAAATGAAGGGGGCAGCCATCATTCTACCATCATTTTTTTGAGAATCAGGGATTCATAAAATCCGAAATGGTGTAAACTTGTGTAACAATCTGATTATTTCATGGATAAATTTGTGCAGTTCCCCCCTTTTTTCTTTTTTTGAACCATCATGGGGACTGGCATACGTTATTGTGGTTTAACTAGTAAAAGGTCAGTGGCAGAGGTTCAGTTTCTAAACAAAGGATTGTTAACCATAGTTAACCATCAATATGGAATTCCAACTAAAAGATTCATTGCAACCGTCATTTTGTAATTTAATTGGTACTTTCTCTTGGGATGGTGTTTGTTCAGTGCCATTTAAATCTGTTAAATTATTTCAATACAATTGGATTAATTCCTTGGAGTTAAAGAAAAAAAAAAAAACTCACTTAGGAAGACCACTTAGGATCACTTAGTTTTACCTATAAGAGTTAAAGCTAATAGTATTGCATGCATTTCTGTAGCATCTGAGCATCAGTTCACTTTCCTTAACCTCAGCAACTTTCTTGAATGGATCTCTGCAGGAAGGCCGCTCACTCTTTCCTCTCATAAATACTTCAAATTGGACAGTCACTTGAGGGCACTGTAAGGTTGCACACTACGAGCTGCTGGGATCCAGGAAAATAGTATGACAAATAAAAAAAACGGTTGTGTTTTTTATTGTATTAAGGTGTTTGTCAGATGGGACATTTACAATGGGGTTTTGTAGCAGGCTTGAAGATTGTTCAATTCCCTTTTTTTTTTTTATTAGTGCAGCTTTATCATTTTTTAATGACATTTCTGATATTAATGCACATGCAATGCTTTTATCAAACATTATACAAATTATTTCGGATATTACCTTTCATGTTTGGCTGCGCTCACAATTTACAGCTTTGCTTTAAGGTTTACAGACCCTCCATTCAGGAAAATTACAAATTCACCCTGTTAATTGAAATAACACAAAATTGAAAAAAATGAATAAATAAATAAAAAATGACTAAATAAGTTACTAAAAAAAATCTAAAACAAAATCCTTGACAAATTAAAGTACCTTGCTCATGAACAATGAACCAACATACCTGTCAACAGGTGCAGAAGACTGACCGAACATCTACATATACATATATATATATATATATATAAAATGATTTTCTTTTCCCTAATGGAGGGGTATGTAAACTTAGAAGCACATTTGTATGTTAGGGTGTGCACGTATTGCTTCTAAAACCTCTGTATGTATCCTACTGTACATCACACATGACCTCATTAGGGCTGGAAGTTTATTTTTAGCTCCCCACACCATTCATCAGCTAAAGGCCCCTAGGAAACCATCTCGTCCACTGTGTGCCTGGGTGTGTGTGTGTGTGTGTGGATGTAAAGGGGCTGGGCTAGAGTGTTTCACTGACTCAGGTTGAACGAGGTTTCTGTTTTTGTCAAAGCTGTCATCAGACTTGACCTGACTTTTTTTTATGATTTGTTTTGTTCAGCTTTTTAATGGTTATTGATTTGAAAATATTTAAAAGCTTTAAACAAAGTCAAACTTTTATTTTTGGAGTGTTTTAAAAGAAAAAAATATTACTAAAGATGTGAATGTCTGTTCGCTGAAAATCATGAATCTGAAAACATTTAAAAAAAATCAGGTAAAGAAAACAAGCAAGGACGTGATTACATGATCTTAATAAAGTATATGAATGTAAAGGATTTTTTTCTTTAGGGAGATATCAAAAGCAACATATCTGATTCCAGCACTAGATACTGTCTTTTAAAAGATTTAACTGTTTTTATGATGGTTTTGCTCAAGGTCTTTATTCAATATAATCATCAGGTCATTCAATATAAAATCCTATTAAAACAACATTTTTCATAAACTAAGCCTATTATTGTAGGACATGCAGTGAAAATATGCATTTGTTTGAAAAGGGCACTGCTTTATACTTCAAAATATATAGTGCAGATCAGTTTAAATACTTGCTGAGGATTTTCAGTCATTTCTTGAATTGTAAAAGATTCCATACTGTGTATTGATTTTTAAAGAGAGAAATTCCTGTAATAAATAACGTTTTTCGTTGTGGCTGCTTCCAGCCATCTGAGCTGGAGGACCTGCTGGAGGACCTGCAAAACAGCAGCCAGCAGCAGCTGTTTCCCAGTCAGCCTCCGTCCTCTTCATCATCTTCATCAGCGGTGCCAGCTGGCTCCTCTGTGGACAAACAGACCATCATCAGTGACATCCTGCAGATGAACGACACCAGCAGCAGCAGCAGCTCCCCCAGCCAGCACAGAGCCTTCCCTCCTATCGGACCTGCAGGTACGTCTTTAGCAGGCTTTTTTTATATTACTCTATTATTCAATCTAATTTTTTTTTGATTGAACAAGTATTTTTGGTGTTTTTACATTTTTTTTTCTCTTATCCTAGGAAGTTTCAATGGTGTCAGGTCAGGCCAGTCTGGTCAGGGGGCTCCTCCAGTTAGAAGCATGTCTCTGGACAACAGTATGGGCTCCAGCCCCACCAGGCCTCTCCCACCTCAGCACAGAAATAATGGCCCCTATCCTTTGCAGCAGCAAGGCATGATGGGAACTCACACCAGCATGAACCAGGCAGCAGGACCTAACACAGGTTAGGCAAAACAATCTAACAGATCTGTAACATGTAAATAGTTTTCCTCAAAGCTTCGGGAAGGAGAAAGGATTCTGTTTTAATTCTTACAGAATTATCTAATATTTTGGTCTTTATAGGGAAGGATTAACCAAAATGCTTGTAGTGATGTAAATTCCTCTGAATCCCCCTTCAGCAGGCCTTCGTGGCTCCATGCAGCAAGGCTGGGGTCCCCATGCTCCAACAGGCGGGAACTCTGGACCAATGATGCCACACGGAGTTGGTCGAATGGTACCGGGCATGAATCCTACACTCCCTACAAGAAGCAACGGTTCAAATGTTTCTAGAGCTTTGGTCAACATGCAGATGATGGGAAATGGTGCGAAGAAATCACCAAAGCGATGCTCCATAGCTGCCATACACTATACCTGATGTTTATGATCTTATTTTCTTATGTTAGACTTGGACATGGCAGCTCCTCCCTACCATCAACAGCAGGCTCCGCCCAATCAGACAGCTCCATGGCCAGACCGAATGATGATGATGGATCACTACGGAAACCAAAGCAGGTTTGGCATTTAGTTCATCCTAAAGTTTAATGAAGGAAATTGCTTTGGCTTTGTTTAGTCTGACAAAGTGCCACCTCGCAGGCCGCCCTATGGCATTCCTCAGGAAGACGGGATTGGTTGTTGTGGCTCCGGACCTGAAGGTCAGACAGATGAGGGTGCTCTGCTGAACCAGCTGTGTTCGGTGTTGAAGGACTATGAGGGTCTGGAAGAAATTGACAAGATGTTGGGAATACCCACTCTTGCTGGACAGGTAAGCTGGGTTCACCCTACTTTTTTTTTTTTTTTTTTTCCAGAGAAGACAGACGGGAATTTGTTGTAATCCACCGCTCTGTTGTATCTGTGGTTAAAGCTTAAGGTCTTTGTCTTACTGGAAATTAAACGTACCCTCCAGTCTCATGTGTTTGAATTTAACAGAGTGCCTTCCAAAATCACCTTCTAGTTTTTTCTCCATCCATCGCCCTTGACCAGCTCTCTTTCCCAAAGCATTACTCGTCCATCACCATGTTTTACAGGGAGGGATAACACTCAGTGTGAAGTGCTTTTTCTGCCATTTTCCTGTTATGCAGAAAGACCAATAAATAATGTTTTGGCTTTATCTGACAAAGCACCTTCCTCCACATGGTTTAGCCACTCTTCCATAAAGACTGAGTTATTTTTGCAATTAATAGTGTTACTTTTTACAGATTTGCCATCATGAACTGTTGATTTCAGCTCATTTATAAAAAAAATAAATAAATAAAAAAAAGGATTGATCAGTGCTCTGTAAAACGTTTCTATACACTAACCCTGCTTAAAAAGTGGGTTGAATATAAATTGTCTCAATGTTAATACTTTTATTTTAAAATTTTGGAAAATATGTAGATATTTTTTTTCTACACCTACACTCACAATTATTCACTACTCCATGTTTGTTCCATGAAAGACCAATAGAATACATCAGTGTTTTTGGTAGCCTCAAAATTTCAAAGGTTATTGGTACATTTGCATGGCACTGAACAAAAACAGGAGAACAAACAATATAATCTGTCTTCATCTTCAGGGTCCTCTTTCAGAGCAGGAGCAGTACCTGGGTCCCTTGGAGCCACCGTCTAGCCTTAAAGCTCCCCTCTACAGTCAACAGTACGGGGGGCAGCCAGGTTACGGTGGCTTACCCCCTGATGGCGCATATGCTGCCCAATCAATCGCCGGCCACATGGGACCTCAAAGGATGGCACCGGCAGGCTACCCTCCTATGATGAGAATGCCCGGTGCCCCAGGACCCCGGCCCCCCGGCATGAGACCTGGTGGCCCCAATTCAATGGTGCCATCGCAGCCCAACAACCTGAGGCTCCAGCTACAGCACAGACTCCAAGCCCAGCTGGTAGGTTTCAGCTAATTAGTTATGATCATCTCTATTTGGTTATGAGCTTTTGATAAGAGCATCAGAGATCAGACAATTTCCTCCAGTTTTATTAATACAAAATAGGTGGAGAGACATACAAAGATTCTGGCTCTACATTTAATAAGTCATTTGGTGTTTAAAAGTACATTACTTACATTATTCCTGTTAATAATCAATGCACAAAAATGACTTGATCATAAAAGAAAACACCTGTGCTGAAGACAAGCTGGTCATCATTTTGATTAATTAAGTATGAAAAAATAATGCATGACAAAAATTTATATGCACTCTGGAATGTAAACAAATACGATGTAAACTAGTGTTTGGATAAATTAGGTGAAATAAATCTTTAGTACAAGCCTCTTAATGCATTCCTTGCCCATATGTTTGGTAGGCACTGTAAAATTAAGAGAATATTTTGATTAAACAATTAAACAATTTAACTAGTGTAGATTGAGCTGGGCTGAATTTATAGTCTGTTTAGGTTGGCCTTCTTTAATGGTGATCTCCTATTGATTGTTTTTTGATATAGAAAAAAAAGGATTGTATATTTTTTTTTTTCTTTTATTGCTGCATTTTCTTTGCAAAGTGGTTAATTTTTTTCTCTCTTTAAATACATAAAAAAAATTGTCTGTATTGTTTCCTATTAATCCGGTAATAGACTAGTCAGTTAATCTAAAATCATCAAATTGCAGCGTATCCCATTACATTCTGAAGATATCTCTTAGTAAAGGAGCTACATGTATGCAAACAGACAGGTTGGTGGGGTTCACTGAGTTTAAACTGCAGACAAAAGAAGAAAAAAAGTGGCTGCAGGAACACTGCTATATATGAACTAATACTCAGCCTCTACAGACATGGATGGTGTGCCTTTTGTAACCAGTAAACATTACAGACATGGGTCTTTGAAGAAATCATAGGCTTGATGTCAGACTGAATCACAGATATTCATCATCACTACTGCATATGTATTTTATGCTACAACTCAGACCAATATCATAAAGGTGTATTTTATGTTATTGGTACGAGCTGCCCCCTAGTGGAGAGTTGAGGGAAAGCACCTTTTGTAATCTTAATGATTATAAACAAAAAAATATTTTGGTATATTCCTGTTTTAACCTCTTTCTTATGGTTTGGTTTTCCTCAAGAAATGTTATGGTTTCATAACAACAGAAACGATTCTGAAGGTGTTGCTTTGAATATTTGCAGTAAATGTAATGATAGCAACAAAAACAACATATCAATGCCATTATCATCATGGGCGGTTCTAGACAGGGGCCAATGGGGGCCCGTGCCCCTGGAGATTATGTCCTGGCCCCTGTTATGGCCCCTGTGCCGAAGACATAATGGTAAATGAAATTCTAATGATGATATGCGCTGGAAAAGACATGGTTTCTGATAGGTCCTTTGAAACTGTTTCATTTTTTTTTCTTTAAAAATTCTGTTTTACTAATTATTTAAAGACAATAAAGTGATCACTTCTGTTGTATTGAGACAGGATCCCAGTTTTCAAAACAAATTTAAAAATATGTAATACTCTCATTTTTACAGCTAGATTTATCTGTTATTCTTGAGTTCTAAATCTGATTTTATAGAAAACCTTAATTTTAACTTAAATGAATTTAAAAATATGTAAAATTCCTACATTATGAACGTATATTGACCTAATATTCAAAATAAAAGTTTAATTTGATCTTTTAGATATATAGCTACAATTTTTTGAGTTGATTTTTAGGTATGCTAAGGGATTTTTATTTTAATGATTATCCAAATGAAAATTTCCAAGCCAAAAATAAATATTTTCATATATATTTATGTATATGAAAATATTTATATATTATGTATGTGTATGTATATGTATGTATATGTATATATATGTATGTGTATGTATGTGTGGGTGTGTACATGTATGTGTGTTTGTATAATTTTTTTATGTTTAAGGTTTCAAGTAAGTGACTTCTATTGAAGTATATTTGCAGTGGTTTTAAACAAAGTTTTTGACATTTTCCATGAGGTTTCCCTTATAGTTCTGACATCTGGATTTTGTGTGTTTTGTAGAACCGTCAGCCGGTGATGAACCAAATGGGTGGAGTCACAAATATGAATCTACCTCTAAGATCTAATGTCTCACCCCAGGTCAGCTGCTTACACCAACCACCCTCACATGATTTCTATTATCTTTAACAGTATTCACACCACTTAAATATTATTGTATACCCTAAATTTTCAATTTAAAAAAAAATTTAAAATGTATTGATGTGATTTCATGTGATAGGCTTACAAAATGGGAATTGTGAAATGAAAAAAAAACTGCTGGATGTTACTCAACACACCATCCACAAAGTTACAGAGATGCCTCTCAGAGTAAAAAGATAAAGCTAAATTAAGACTTATCGTGGATGAAAATTTTAAGGAGTCATAACCAGTTAATCTACTTAAAGAATCCTTCTGAAATTGTCTTTTAATTCATGTTTAATCACTTTAAGGGGAAAAAAAATGTGTATGTGTGCCCGTTAATGTAGCTGTAGCATTAGCAACATTAGCAGTTTGCAAATGTTCCTTAGTCATTGTTTTCTCATCCTTTACACAGTTGGTAAAACAAATTACACAAGCAGCAACACTTACAGACAGGCAAGTTCCTGATTGTTGGGATCACCCCTTTAGGTGGGATAGAGACGGGCGTACTGATAGCAAGGTGTGCTAATGTTAGCACCTCGGATGAATGACATCATTTAAGGAGGAAAACAAAAATTGCAGTTTTTGGACAGCCCAAATCCAACACACGCTTTTTAACATAGCAAAAAACTCAGATATGCAGGTAATGACACCTTTAAGTACAGGTGAAAAATATATGGTATTTAAAAACTATATAAAATATGTTAGAAGTCTACAGTTACAGTGTAAAACTATATCCAATATCAATCTTTTTCCAATTTGACTTAATTTGAGTAGAATGGTAATAATTAATTAGTCTGGAGATTTTCAACACCTCTGGCTATATTTACAGAAAAAGGATGGTTAAAGGGCTAAATATAATTTCAAAACACTACAGTATATCATTCTTAATTATAAAAAATAAACCCACAGTACAGGATTACCTAAACTGGGTAAATCTGGGTTTTTCATAGTTGTAAAATGTGGATTAAAAAATACCAAGGTGTGAAAAGTTTTCCATGATTTAGTCCTGTACAAGTTAAACGTGTCGTGCATTCTTTTGGAGTGCATTATTTCCCCTATTCATTTTATGGTGATGACAGAAACGCTCTTCTTTCCATTGTCGCATGCAGGGAACTGTCAACTCTCAGATGCTGGTCCAGCGTCAGCGCGAGTACATAAACAACCAGTTACGTCAGCGCCAACAACTGCAGCACCATGCACATCAGCAGCGTGCAATGATGATGCGCACTCAGGGCATCAACCTTCCGCCAAACATGTCCAGCGGGGGGGCTGCTCCCACGCCAATGGCCATGGCTGGTGCCAACCCCCGGATGACGCAGGGAAACATGCAGAGGTTTTCCTACCCAGCGTCCAGCTACGGTACTGGCCTGCCATCTCCTCCTCCTCATCCCGGCTCCTCCAGCCCCTTCTCCTCCCCTTTATCCCCGAGTCATCTCCTGGCAAGCCAGGGCATGATGGGAAACGTAGGCGGGCAGTACAGCAGCGTAATGAGCCCTTCATCACAGCACAGTGCCTTCCAGTTTAACACTTCAGGTATTGGATTTGTTCTGTGCTTTATACAGGATGTTGTCACTTTTGGTGAGGTGATCATGTTTCCTCTTTGTCATGAATATAGTTCAAAATAAGTAAATATTCTGATTGTACTTGGAGCCTCTTCTACAGCAGCGTGCTTCATTAACTCTTAGAAGCCAGACACGTTCAAAATAAGTTATTATTTTAACCTTTAAATCAGGACAAGTTTTTATCTGTTTTTGTCTGATATTCCAATAATAATCTCTATAAATTTGAAACCAACAACTTTTTTTGTTTTGTTTTTAAATGGAACATGAACTAAAATGTATCTTATGTGCTCTGTTTTTAGGAATGAGCCACCAGCAGCAACACCAGGACCCAGTGTCATGCTTTCCCTGTGGGGCAGGGACACCGCAGAGCCCCCTGCTGTCCCCCAGAATGGGACAGGGTCAGAGCCCCATGTTGCAGCAAAACCAGGGCCAAACACAAACCCAAACCCAGACTCCAAACCAGGGAGGTCCGCCAAGCTACCAGACTAGCGGGGACTTGAACGGGTGGTCTCAGTCTGCAAACATTTCAAACAGCAACAGGTAACAGAACATTTTCCAGATCTTTGTAACATCAAATTAAGTTTTTCTGATGTTCTTTAAGACTGTGCTGCATGTCTCTCAGTGGTTATCCCCAGCAGTCCCAGTCTCAGTTCTCGACACAATCCAGTGCTGGAATGTACAACAGCAGCAGCATGAATGCAGTGTCAGGGCAGATGGTCTCCATGACTGAACAGGTGACAAAATCACTACTTCCTCCAAGCTCAGATATTCAGACAATTTTCTTTAAAATTTAAATGTTCATCTGTCCATCCATCCATCCATCCATCCATCCATCCATCCATCCATCCATCCATCCATCCATCCATCCATCCACCTTTCCATCCATTTGTCAATCCATCTATCCATCCGTGCATCCATCCACCCATCTATTCATCCATCCGTAAACCATCCGTCCATCCATCGATCATCTAACATTCATTCGTCCATCCACCCATCCATCAATCCATCCATCTGTCCATCCATCCATCCATCCATGCATTGTTGCAGGTTCCGTATTTCAAACCTGCTACGTCTTAACTGAAAACTGAGTTATTCGAATCTGACAAAGTTTTGATTTTTGACATTGACACCTTTTTTGGACACCTGTGTTATTTTTTTTTTTCTGTTGGTGCAGGTGGGTGACAGCAACCTAATCCTGGAACAGTTTGGAGGAATCGATATGATGAACCAAGACAGCAATGTCAATTCTGTGAGTAAAATTAGATTTTTCCAACTCTTTGTTGTATCTGAAAGACACCCACAGATGTACAACTTAACTCAATTCATTTAAAAGAAGACGTACTTCATGATATTTTGTATAGCAGAGCAGTCAACCTTTACCACCATCTGCCAGTTAACTGTAAAAGAGACATCAATTTCTGCATCTAAACCTTTGAAAAACTTCAATAAATATTTGATAAAAAAAATTTTAGCTGCAAATTTTAAACACTTTTTTTACACTGAATTCCTTACACTGAATTTTCAATCTGGTGAAAATTCAGCTGCAAAAAAATTAGCTGCATAAAATTTGCCTGCAAAAAAATTAGGCTGCAAATGTGTTGACCTTTTGGTGAACTCAAGCCAAAGCAATCCACACTGGATGCAGTCAAACAGCTTCTAGAAATGAAATGAAATGAAATAAGCACATTTTTCAGGAAAAAAAGGAAGTTTGGCACCGGCCACTTTTTCCAGATCAAACCAAGAGCCTTGGCAGACAGGGGCGCCGGTCTAGCTGTGATCGGCTCAGTTATTTCACCCATTCCCATTACATGAAAAATTCTAACCATTTAGTTTTGTGTATTTTACCAATTACTGAGCTTTATTAATGTTAACTTCTCTGTGTGATGCTGGTTTTCTGTGTTTTTGTAGAATTTTTGCTGACCATGGCTTTTTTGGAAAAGACCTAACCCACGGAGCCGTGCTAAAACCCTGACACCCAGAGAGGTCTGGAAAAAAATATGAAGACTTTGGGTTTCCTGCAAGAGACAAGTGTTTTTTTTTTTCAGAGGAGTAGCAATGGAAGAAAAAAGTCAAGACATTTGAACTCCAAGCATACTTCTTAGTTCCTGCTTCAGGAATTATTCGCAAACAGAGTTTGAAGATACTGAACTTCAATCTGAATAATTCTGACTCCAAACACAATTGTAGGAAAGTCATGCCAATGGCAGGATGTTTGCTTTGGTGTTTTTCAGAAACGCATTTAGTTATATAATGTCGGTTAAAACGTTCCTCTTAGCTTCTCTCTTTCACAGAACAACCTAATGAGACTTTATATTTTATTATGATTTACTAAACAGTAGCTATCACCTAACTTTAGAATCAATTGTAGGATTCTTTTAAAATAATATTGATCTATAAATGGAAATACCTAGTGGCGTGCACAGACATTTTTGGTGGTAGGTGTTCAGGTTGGAAAAAGGCACCTTATACGTTGCATGGAGCCAAACAAGCCTGATGCTGACGTTTAAGGATCTTCTGTAGTCCAGAGGTAGCAATGCCACATTGGTGTCACTTCAATAAATAACAATTTCAAATCCACTAATATAAAGCCCACAAATCCAGAATATCTTTAAGTCTATTGAGTACATATGATAATTTGCAGATGAACTAAGATTTACACTTCAAATATAAAAAAAAACAAAAAACTCTATTATCTTATTTCAAGTGCATATTATGTAATAATAGTTACAAACACTTATTCCACTGACAGATCATCTTATTTCCCTGTTCAGATTAGGGACAGATAAGGTTATTTTCAGAACATTTTACATATTTCCAGGTCATTTTTTGCAGTCCAAGATAAACACAGAAATACTAATACTTTAACTGAATAGAACTTTATTAAAGTTATTTTTACGAATTCTTATCATTTGGCCTTATGTTTGCTTTTAAATGAAATGTTAAACCGACTAAAGGTAACTTGTGTGCTGTAAAAAAAAAAGTCAAGTAGATCTCATGAAGTCCCCGACCATTATAGCAAATCAATAGTGACATCTATTAGATGCTTTAAGTTCAATCTTTTTCTAATTTAATCAAAGAGTTCCATTTTAAACCACTCCTTGTGGCCCGGTAGAGGCCATTAAATATGTTCTGCTATGAAGTAACCGTTTGGAGGTAAATACGCTAAGTTACCTGGATGGTTACCTTGCCCTTCATCAGGGCAAGGCTCTATTGAGGTCAGGCTACATGTCAGGTGAAGCAAAATTACATAAATCTAGGCTCTGGGTTTGAAAGGTTTTTAAAATCATGAATGCTATTTTGGGCGAAATACTAAAAAAACAGAAAACGATTTCAAGAGGGGACAAACAACTTGTTTGTCCAGAGGGGAAAAGGGGAGGTACTCTGGCATCACCTATTGTCTATCTGTGCACGTCCCTGGAAATACCTATCAGTAATTTCAACATAATAAACAAAATAATTAGCCTTTTGTCTTAAGAATGCAGCACATACAACTTTTAAGATAATTATTAACAGATAACTGGTGGAAATGCTGCCTCCAAGAATTGTTTGCAGTAAAACAGGTACATAAACTGTATATTAAAAAAAAAGTTTGGGTTTTCAGCTAATGACACAGATTTATGAAGTGTGTGCAATCTGTAGTCCAGCTGCTTACATTGGATGTTTGCTGTAAGGATGTGATACAGTTATCTCTCTTAAAAAGAAAAAACGACGTTTGATCTCATAAGTTTTTGAGGCCATGTGTTTGTGGTTGACTACTGTGTGTGAGCTAGCACGTTTGTGTGTTAAACTCTGATTCTCACAATTTCACACTGTAGAGATTTATAAAATGAATCTATCAATATTTTTTAAACTCCTGGTTCTCTTTTAGAGCCCGACTGAACGTAAAAAGGAAACTATATGAATATTTTACAGTTATTTATAGATTTAAAGATGTTTTAGAGATTATTTGTACGGATGAAAATCAATTATAACTTTACGAAATCTTTTGAAATGGTACTTGTTGATTTGAAAAGTAATATATATTTGAACTGCTGTTGTATACAGGACATATGTCCCCTATTTAAAGATTTTTTTCATATAAATGTGAATGTGTATATTGTACATAGATCCTTTTACCCCTTTGTTCTTTTAGAGCCATCATAAAGCAGCATTTGGAGTTGAATAAATGATCAACAGAGTTAAAATAGGCCATGGTTTAAATTAAGCACACTGTTTTTTCAAACAGACTTCCTGTTGGATGTATTTTGGGGAAATTTGACACAAGCGAAAGACAAAGACCGGCTGCTGTAATGTTTAGCATAGTAGCACTGTTAGTATGCTAACTGTTAGCATGTAGCACTGGAAAATGTCCAAGTTTCCATTTCATTTTCAATGTTCTTATGTTTTGACCAAATTTGCCTATATGAAGTAAATGGGTTTTTTTTCTGCCATTGCAACTAGAATAAATGCACAAAATGGAGTACTCCACATTTTCTCTTTAAGAGGAACAGCTTTGACATGCTTTCATTCTTTTTATTTATCCAGTACAGTACAACTTCCATGGTTTTCAGTACTGCAGTTAGGTACAGTGCAATATATAACAAACCAAAACGCTCCATCATCACTTTACTATGCATGTAACAATGTTAGCACATATAACTGGGATTCAAACTCTCAACACTCTTCATTATTAGCTCTTACACAGCATGTATACTCACACATACATGTGACTAAAATTATATTGACTGCTACTCAAATAATGACAGCTCATTAACAACAATACTTATCTCATGCAATACTATGCAAACGATCTGTCTGCGCTGAGGAAGATTCAATCACTTACAGATGCTTAAACATGAAAGCAAAACAAACTGCCATGACGGCAAAGAAAAAAAACGAACTAATAGCTATCTGAAGACTTGCATACATTAATAGAGCATCAAAACCTAATCACTAGATGACCTCTTTATGAAGAAAAACCCAAATACCCTTGTCCTTCTTTCTCAGGCAAAACAATATCACACCCTTGTTTTTAATATACACAAATATGATTTGTTTTTGTTTTTTTATTTCCAAAATGACTGCAGCTTTTAACTTTTGGAAGATATGAATTCAGTACTTGCAATCTAAGTATTAGCATGCTGTGTTACAAAAAAAAATTATTTATTTGATCCTGGCCCAAACAAATTAGCATTTTTTTTTTTTTAACCTTTATTTTACCAGGAAGTCCCTTGAGATAAAATCTCTTATTTTCTCTCTTATTTGATAGCAACGTAACTCCACTCTAGAGTGATCTTTTTAAATGCGAGCCAAGTTTTGCATAAGCTTTTTGTTTTAATCTTGTTGTTGATACTTACATTTTTCAGCTTTTAAAGATAAATCATTAAAAATTCAGGATTTCAATACTGCATTAAAAATGTACTTTATCTAAAAGGCTTTATGACTAAGAGCCTTTTCAATCCAAATCAATATGAAGTCAGGGAATTTTGGGAATACACTATAACCACATTCATTTCGGTGCTGTTTTATCTGTGCTTTCTTTTCTTTTCATTGCATAATTTTTCCTGTTTGTTCTTTTGGGACATCTTCAACATACTGTACACAGAATGGGCAATAAAAACTGGAAAAACGTAACTGTAAAGAAAATATCAAATTTTATTTCACTCTCCCTGATATTAAAACAGTCATTTCTTAGTTTTTTGTCTTCAAAATGTAACCTTTACAACCTCAGAGATTAAATGTAGGCCATAGACGTGCTCCGAATGTCTGAAACACTCAGCAAGATTAAAGTGAAGATAAAAACTTGTTTAAATGATCTCAAAATGTCTTATATGAAGGTAAACTGCTTTTCTTGATTTAAACTGAGACAACAATACATATTGGGTAATTTGTATATTTGTACTGTTTGTATTTCATGTAAATATGCATAGATTACTGCCTTAGATTTTTGATTTTCTGTTTGGTGTTTAACTGTAAGGTTTTATAGAGTATCAGGTGTGTGGAATTCTGCTGAATTGGTGATACTCCACTTTATGCATTTTATAAGCAGGGATTTTAGGCTTTCTCACAAGAAATGAGACTTTAAGAAAGCTGTGATAAACTTTTAAAGATTCATGTTAGAAAATTCCCACTGTTTCTCATCGAACTGTCTGTATGTTCCGATGTACACCCTGGATAAAACAGTATTTTGGTTTTAAAGGGGGAATAAATCTATTTTTTATTGTTTGGATTTCTTCTTTGATATGAATACAATTGAATTACAGTTGTCCAAAGATTATTGTAATATCATAGTCAGAAATCTGATCATTTTAATTAAAAGCATTTAACATGATTGTGGAACCCAGGATAGCAGGTTTACAATTAATGCTTTTTTTTTTTTTCTCAAAATCAAAAATTTAAGATGGTCCACAAAATATGACCTAAATGTGGAACTTTTTTGATCTGATTCTGTGCCCAACTGTGAAATAAAATCAATTAAAAATAAATCAATTTTGGGAAAGCTCAAACTAAAGACAGTTACAGAGGCCAAGCACTGAAGCATACAGTAATGGATCCGGCTTAAAATAGCTTCGTGGGTCTAAGTACTTGCTATGTTAAGGAGACTTTGACCACTTTATCTCACTGTTAGCATTTTCTGATATCAGCTGGCTCTTCCAACAAAAGCCATTAAGCTTTTTGTCAATAAGAACTCAGGGGCCTCTGCTAATTACTGTGGTTATTATATCACCTTAAAAATGTATTGATTCAACATGTTTTTGCAAGAGATTGATTTATTGACAAATAAACACCTTTTATAAATTACCTTCATGCAACTCAAACCTTCAGGTTTTAATAAAATTATAATTCAGAAGAGTTAAATCCTAAAACATTTTCTCCCTTGTGCAAATATTTACACTAGAAGTTCAAAATTAGTTGCAAATTTTACTGAGAATAAAAGCAACAAATTCCACTATTTCCTGACCCTGTTTTTCACCTTTTTAATTTCAGATTTGTGTAAATAAAAGGTTACACTCATTTAAAGTAGTCTTTGGATTAACGACATAATCGAAGGTGAAGCAGTTTTACTGAAATATTTCCCTGCTATTTCAAAGTGCTGCCATTGTTAAAATGCAATGAATGCTGTAAACCTAGATATATCAACCAGAGAATGTAGGGGTTTGATTGGGAGTATTGTCTTTAAAGTTAAGGGAAAACATCTCAGCATCTTAACAGTCCAGTTTCCTGTTGGTATTTAGTGTTTTAACCCTAGAGTTGTTCACCCACTTTATGCAAACTATTGACTCTGATGTTTGTTTAGCCAATGCTGCTTTTTGATTTCTGATTGATGCCACTGTAAATAAACTATTTTTCTCGAATTGATTTCTGGAGTTTTATTTCAGTGCAAATGATGAGGCTTAAATGAATGTTCTCCTAAAAATTCTAAGCAATTACAATTACTGGCCAGCTGGGGGCGCCATTTTACTGCGTTTTAATATCAATGTGAATGAAAGTGATAAAAACATGTCCTACTAGGTGCTTGTTATAATAAAGTTAAAATCACCCCGCATCTTTAGCTATTGAGAATTGTTTAATTTCCTATTTTGCCTTATGAGTAAAAAAAAGCATAATTTTTTTCAGAACTGTTATATTTTTCCTATCAGTCAAAATCAAGCTAAGTAGAGAGAAACATATGTTTAGAGAAATTTAGATCTAAATTGCACTAAGGTACAAGTTTTGTTTTTTTTTTGCCATCAAAAACATTATTTTCTATGAAAGGAGTGGGTGTAATATCACAGTAATTATTTTTGGGTTAAATGTGCACCACAAATAATTAAAGAAGACAGCAAAAATGCTTATATAGAAATATAGACTTAGAGATTTACACAGATTTTATTTGGTCATTTTGTATACACAAGTGTAAGCAAAAAAAATTTTAAGAACAGCTCTCTAGACTATTTCTTTTTTTTAAGTGCAGCCTTGATAAATTAATCAGCAGTAATAATAATTAAAAAAAACATTGTGATGAACAGTAATGTAAACATATGGCTGTATAGTTACAGTTCTAACATTCAGATAGAAGACCTTTTTCTTTTTTTAGATTGTGGAAAGAAAATTAAAGAAATGACGAGAGGTACTGTAATTATATCATAAGTCTCGGCAGGGGATGCATACATCTCTCTGTTTTTCCTGTAATTTTATAGACCAGTTAAATATCTGATGCCCTCAGCATGGCCCCTAAAATCCAAAGTTCTCATATTTGGATTTTATTTTTCAAATCCTCAAATGATCTACAGGTGCGTGAGTGTAAAATGCAGAAACTGACTGGTTATGTGCTTCAGCTGTTAGGGAACATGCAGTACTTGCAGTCAGTGAGATAGAGTGCGGCCTCAAAGGATAATTGAAGGTCATGAACCACATAAGTCTCTCTAACACACAAAGCCAGTGTGATAATTTCAGACTGATGTTGTAACACTGGAACTTGGTAAATCCAAGGTCACAGTGTAAATATTGAGGAGAATATCTGGACAATCCTGTAATCTATGAACTTTGTCAGCTTTCCGTGCCATAACAATCCCCTTGTGTTTTCAGTGTTTGGATTGTGAAGAAAGTTGTGAATTGGTGCAGATAGTGAATTACTTCCTGATTGTGAAGTTGTAAAGGGAAGGAATTTCCTCCCCCTCCCCACCCTGAAAATGATCTGAGCCCTTATTGGAGCACTGGGCTGTCAGTCAGGGGGATACCTGCGTCAGAGGCTTTCCAACTTTGGCGTTGTTCTCTATGCTAGATCTGATAGGATATAAAACAATGAAGACCTATCACTCTGCTCCCTTTTCCAAGAACCATATAAAAAAATCAAATTAATTAATTCAAATAACAGAAGGGGTGTGTAAAAATGTCATATTTTAGCAGGTATAAAGCTGCCACTTACTGTAAATGTATTTGTTAAATTACTATATATATATATCTATATCTATATCTATATCTATATATATATATATATATATATATATATATATATATATATATATATATAATTATTATTTTTTTTTTTATGGGACTGTGACCATGATGAATTACAAAACCAAAGCAACTAAGACTGAAAAATAATATTTGTACAAAACATACCAAAATAAATAAATAAATAGAAAAGTCATACTAGGGACATCTAAAATGTGATAATAATTTATAAAATCAGCTTGCTCTGCTACATTTTCTGTTTTACCAAACAGGAAGTTGAAGATCAGGAACGGTTGTAAAGCTGATAACTGTTATATATTTTCGAGACCAATATTACAGATTGTTCAGTATATTGAATTGACTGCAGATATATCATTACCAAGTTCAATTCTCTAACACATAGAGTCTGAATGTAAATAAAGCAGGCCATTATTGAATAATCCACCTAATTTAGATATAATTTTGGATGCAAAAAACTCAACTCATTAAAATGTGTCAAGTGAGTTGTTCTCCATGATGAATGTGTCATTACACATTTTTAAAGATATTTCCTTTTGTAGTTGTACTATAACTCTGTACCGTGCGGGACTTTTCTAAATTTGTGTATATGTATATATTTTTTCATAGCTGGGTAAACCTGTCTTTCTGGACTGTAAGCAAGCCAGACATTACATCACAAAAAGAGAACCGCGCGACAAGTTCAACTTGAGAAAATACGGTACTTTGAAGAAACAGCGCCCTCTGTTGTTAGAAATTAGAATGAGTTTAGAAAACGCAAAGAAGCAAAAACACAGATTAGGAGTTAAAGTCAGACAACACTGAAGACAAGTAGAAAAAGAAAGCACAAGAAAACGACAGATTATCATTTGAAAAGTAAAATTAAGCCACTTAAGTCTTTAAGACACAAAATATGAATTCCTCAATATATATAACAAAACACAACCACAAAAACAACACAGTAAGTTTGTTTGAAAATGGCACAGAGATGATAAAAAATGGGAAACATATTCAGAAAATACACAAATTCAGACAATTTAAAAAGAAAAAAACCCATTAAAAATGAATTGAGTGAAGTGACAGTGGAAATAACGATTTA